ATTGAAATTTGTATTGTAAATTGTATTACAGGAAGAAGAACAGATGGAAAACGAAACAGATGAACAATTTGAAGAGAGAGTATTGAACAAAAGGGCTTATCAGATGTTCACAGTGGTTCGAAATAAACTTCAGTTCAGTGATCAGCTTACGTTGTCCGAAATGTGTCTCCGAAATAACAGAAAACAGGTGAGTTATAACAATATTTTCTTCTATCTGAAACCTTTTTAACAAAGTTACGAAATTTGCTTATAAGATTTCCTTGAAATTTTCTTTCAGGCAGCACAAAAGTTTTACAGTTTGCTTGTACTAAAGAAGTTCCACGTGTTGGAACTTCATCAGGAAGGGGCCTATGAGGAAGTTTACGTGTCAAAAGGCTCAAAATTCGACAACCCAATCCTGTAAGAGACATATTACTATATATATTTATTTGCTGAAAGTGGAAATTACACAAAATATTTTGTACAAGAACCAAATAGTTTTAAATAAGATTTTTTTTCTTTTTTATGTGTGTATGTAATGCCAAGATGATGTTTGTGTAAATTTTGAACGATTTTGACATTTTGAAAAGATATATAAAGCGAAATAAGAAATTATTATTTTGTTTCTGAAAGTCTTATAATGAAAGTAGTTACAGTCTTTTCTAAATGCAAATATCTATTTATTGAAAAAATGTACAGGTGTATAGTGTTTTCTTTTATTAAGGTGAAAATTAATTTGATTTTTTGGATTCATTATTTTTAATTTACGTGACATTATGTAAGTGTCTTATTAGAATATTTTATATTTAGTTTTTTTTTTGCGAAATATTGGGAATTTTATCAAAGGAAACAATACAATAATATTATCATTGCAAAAAGTGTAAGGAATACAGTAAAATATGAAATGATGTAATAATAGTATCTTTTTGTTGATTGTATCAAAACCCCTAAGAAACAAATTTTAATTAAGGTTTAGTTGCCATTTAGAATACGTGCAGCCAATAATGGGACAAAAAAAAATGTTCTTTCTAAACCTAACTGGTACCGACGTTTTGCCTTTTGGGGTATGGATTTCTCAAGCTACGTTTTTGAGTCAGTAATTGTGTCGGATGTGATTTTATATTATATACTATTTCACATTTGACACACCTGCGAAAAAATGAGTTATTGACTCAAAAACCTACCTTGATAAAGTCTAAAGGCGAAACGTCGGTATTGGTTTAGAAAATAAATTCTTTCACTTCTACTGGCCTTTATTCTACACGTTAATTATTTTTTGTCTTCTTAAGTGAAATACTGTAGCAAAATAGTGTAAATGGCTTGCTAAATTTGTTATGACTATGTAAAATTTGTTACTGTCAAAGGTATTTGCTTGAGTTTTTGGAAATATTGTTAGAATATAAATAGTTTTTCTTTAAATTGATTCAATATGATTATAAGTGTAAATAAATTTATTATTTTTATTTCGTATAAGTGCCTTATAACTAATGCATATGTAAGATATAAATATCTTAAAGTAGCCGATAATACATCAGCTTTAAAAGGTGAGAGACTTTTACCATAAATTCCCTCTATTTTATTTATTTACTACTAGGTGCATTGGCAAGTTTATTGGCAATTTTTAACTTTTTTATTATTTTCAAATTACTGAAAGGTATACAGTGCTTTTTTTATATTTTACTGGTATCAATTATTTAGTTTGACATTATACCAGTAGATATTTATTGGCTAGGCTTTACAAAAACGAAACGGAAAAGAAAACTCATTGTGGACGAGGTTAAGAACATATCAGGAGAAGAAATGAAACAACAGCTGTCAGATACCACCGATATTGTAACTACCCTTGATCTCGCCCCCCCAACAAAACGCTTAATGCATTGGAAAGAAACTGGAGGAGTTGAAAAATTGTTTGCTCTACCTGCGAGGCAAATTCCTTCAAGAGTTCTATTTAAAGTANATATTATTTGAACTAATAAGAAATATTTTTTATGCTTCCAAACGTAACTGGAAAGATGCCAAAAAAATAAATCAAACCAGTTAAGCTACTTCCTTTGACTTTCAAACAGCATGCACTTGCACAGCTGTGTATAAGTTTAGTTTCTTGAAAGAAGTTGTGCAAGAATCATAAAACTTTTTTAAATTAAGCGCGCTCATAATGAACCAAACACCTGTCTCATGTTTGCCAAACAGCAGCAAAATGTCGAAAGCAAAAAGGGTTCTAGAAGAAGCGAAGGAAATTCAAAACCCAGAAATTGATCTAATTGATCGTAATATAAGCACATTTGAAGAACTGCCTGGTTTATGTAAGTTGACCTGAATTTAACAGTAATTTTCCAAAAAAGGTAAAGTCTTGTCTTTGATAAAGGGCGTGGTCAAGTTAAGCGCAAAAAATACAAATAAGGTTTATTTAACAATGAAGATAAACCTTTAAAGTATTCATTGTTACAACAATGAGGGGTTTATATTCAACAATTGGGTTTTAGAGTTGATAAAACGAACTTAACCTAATAAATGATTTTTTCACATTAAGAAATTTTTACGTATTTATATTCGTAATTTTCTGTTAATTTAAAAAATATTAAATCATCTCTTTTCAGTTTCCATGTTAAACATTACTCGTCTTACCCTTAGTCACAACAAAATAAAATGTAAGTATTTAAATAATAGCACTTCAAGTTATTATTGTTGCATTTCAAATAATTTTTCAGCTGTACCACCTGGTTTAGCCAATTTAACAAATTTGGAAATTTTAAATCTTGCAAACAACCATTTAGAAGAACTACCCCTATCTCTATCGTCAATGCCAAAACTTAGAATCTTAAATTTGTCATTTAATAGACTGTATGGTTTGCCAAGGGGTTTTGGAGCCTTTCCTATTCTTGAAGTTTTGGATTTAACTTACAACAACTTAAATGAGAAGAACTTACCTGGAAATTTCTTTATGATAGGTAAACATAATAATATTCCTTTTAAAACAAAAAAAAGATAAAAAACTTTTTAGAAACACTTAGGGCTTTGTATATGGGAGATAATGACTTTGAATACATCCCTGCAGATATCAAGAATTTAAAAAATTTACAAATTGTAAGTGTTGCTTCATTTTTGCTAGATACTACAAGATAAATACTATATTATTTTTTAGCTTGTTCTCCGTGAAAATGATTTAATAGAATTACCAAAGGAAATTGGTGAGCTAACAAGATTAAGGGAGTTACATATTCAAGGCAACAGATTAACAATTTTGCCCCCTGAATTTGGAAATTTGGATATGGCTGGACATAAATCAGTTTTTAAATTAGAAGGCAATGAATGGGTCACACCTATTGCAGATCAATTAAAACTTGGAATCAGCCACTTACTTGATTATCTTAAAAGTGAAACATATCGCATGTAAGAATTAAAAACTTATCACAAATAAGTTTTCCACATTTAAGAATTGTTTCACATATTAAAATCTGTGTCAGAAACTAATAGTAATAATAATTTTTAGATCATACACCAGATACCAGACCAACAAGCCTCCAATTCCACCCCCTTGTATTGATAAAGCAAAGAAAATCTCTAGAATTCGTTAATACATTTTACTGTAAGAACTGTGCCTTTAATAACGGTGCCAT